CCTGATCCATCCACTATTCTTGAATATCAGTTAGGATTTTCCCTTTAAAAGTCCTGAACACTGACTGACACACCTCATTTCCCAATCTGAAACACTATCAGCCTCTGCTGTTGCTGCTGCTGCTACTGCTTACAAGATGATAAGGCTCCTAAAGTTAACACTATTTTGTTGTTGTTTCTTCACAGGTTTTTCCTTTGCTTTTTCCTCTTTAACTTTTTGTTGACTTCACTATCAGAATCGCTGCCAGATGCACTTGAAGTAACAAGTTCCTTTGGTTTAGGCATTGCTCCATTTCTGCATGCTCGCTCACTACTTTATGAGCTTTTGTTGTTGTTGCAAACTGGTATGTCTGGTTTTCTATTCTCATCATGTAGTAATCTTGTAGTAGATTTGTTTGACTTTGAACACTGGGTTGAATCTGGGTGATATTGTCATGTATGTTAGTCTCACGTTGTCTGCCACTATTGATTCTCTAGCCAAAGAACTCGTGTTTAGGACTTTTTTGTAAGGCTCATCTGGTTTTTACAAATTGTTTTAATGTCTGTTTGTCTGAAAATGACCTTATTTTGCTGGGTGTATATGATTCTTGGTTGGCAATTTTTTCTTTCAGAGTTTTATATATGTCGTTCCATTGTCTTCTTGCCTGCATAATTTCTGCTGAGAAATCAGAATTTAGTCTTTTTCATTCTCCTTTGTAAATAGCTTATTGCTGCTCTCAGTATTCTTTGTCTTCTGTTTTGAAAAGTTTGCTTATAATATGTCTTGGTGATTTCCTTTTGGAGTCTATCCTGTATGGAGTTTGTTTAACTTCTTGAATGTCTGTCTTCTCATCTTTCATTGATTTTTAGGGACATTTTCTTGCAACAACTCTTAGACAATATTCTCACTGGGTTGTTTTGTTTAATTTTTATCTCTTCCTGTTCCAGAATTCCAATCACATGTACGTTATTTCTCTTGATAATGTTCCACATGAATCTTTCAGATTTTTTTTTCACTGTTATTTCCGATTATACCTCTCAAAGATGAATATTGAGAAATTTGTCTTTGTGCTCATTAAATTGGCCTTCAATTGATTCAATTCTACTTCTTAAAGACTTAGTATTAATCTTTGGGCTTTGTAATTGCTGTTTTTGTGTGGTTTCCAGTTTTTTATTTATTTTGTCAGATTGTTGTAGTGTTCTCAAAGTTTGTGTTCTTGCTTTCATTGATTTTTCTCTCAATCCTTTAAAGGTATCTAAATAGCATTATAAGAATTCCTTATCAAGTGGTTCTGATACCATTTTTGTCATATCTTCTGACTATATTTTCATTATTTGTTTGAGATACTCTCTTGTTTCTTCGTGTAAGCTGAAATTGTTTTCTCCAACATTGTGGTGTCATGTATTTATATTTAGTTGATATTGGTATGTTCTCAGGCACTTACCACCTGCCTCCTGATGGATGTGGTAGAAACTGGAAGTGTGAATGTAGTAGCCTAGTTCAGAGAAAGATGAGGCTTTCTACTCCCGTAAAGATTTACAGCCTCGGAAACCCTGTACAAGGGTCACTATGAGTCGGAAACAACTCCACGGTACATAACAACAACAGTTCAGGGCAGGTTCACACACCTCCAGAAGCAGGGGCGGCACTCTTGGTACCCAAGCCAGACAGAACCAGAGCTGTGCGGGAGAGGTGCCAGGAGGGGCTGGATTGGTAGTGGTGGGACTAGCTCTGCCCTGGGCTACCAGGAGGGCTTCATCCTGTGCTCACAGATTGGTACTCCTGTGCAACTGCCTTTTCTGTTTGATACTCAGTCCACCCTCTGTTCTGTCCTCTGATGCTCAGAGTTCCAGGATCAGTCTCCTATGTCTGTTGCAGAGGGTCAGTTCAGACTACTCTGCCTACTCTGTCATCTTCAGTATTTTAATTTTTATGTAGTCAAAAATTTATTGACTAATTTTTCTTTCTGTAATATGAATACTTAGACAGGTTACCCCTTTTTCAGATGGAGGTAGAGATGAGGAAACTAAAAGTCACATAGCAGAAAAGTGTTCTGGTCAGGATTTGAGCACAGATGTTGGACTATCGTGGAACCCTTGCATATAACCACTCTGTACTGTCTTCAGCTGGTCTCTATTCTTCCACCTGTCCCCTCAGCAAAAACAAGAGAGAAAAAGGAATTGAAAATTGGACTTCTGGGAAAGAAATGGGTGAGGGGTGCGGGGGTGGCGGAGGGGAGAGGCATTTGTTCCTCTGATGTTATTTCCTTGTGTCTTGTATCTCAGAATGAGATGATAGCAGCAACTTTTTTTTTTTCTTAGCTACTTCTGTGCTGTTTGTTAGAAGGATAATGTGACGATGCAAAAATACTAATTACAACATTAAAGTCTGTATTTATTTTGGTTTTGATCCTCTTGACCTTAACCACACTGTATAAAATACTAATATTTCTTTAGATTTTAGTTCCATGTTGGTATTTTCAGTTAATGATTTAAGGAAATTCTATAATAATTTTAACTTGGGGAACATCAGTAATTACGATAAGCCACATTTAGACTCTTTATTGTTTTCTGTTTTATTCAGCAGCACTGTGGCAGGCGTGGCACCTTGAATACTTTCCAAATACTCTACCAGTTACTGACCTGTTGTGATATTTACCGTTGAACTCATAGTGACCCTGTATGTTGTAGTTGAGGGCCATTGAGTTGGGTTTTGACCCATAGCGACCCTGTATTAGGGTTTCCAAGGAGCAGCTGGTGAGCTTCCAGTTCAAACCAACTTAGCAGTCCAGCACATTAACCCACAGCGCCACACCAGGACTCCAGTAACCCTGTATAGGCTTTCCAAAAGTGGCTGATGGGTTTGAACTATGAACCTTGTGGTTAGTAGTCAGTGCTTATCTATCTATTCTACAGCACCACATCAGGATCCAGTACTAACCTTGGGTGCCCCAATTTGATGCCTTTCATGTATTAGTCCACCAGAAGCAGCATCTTTATGACTTAAAGTGCAAGTTTGCTCCTTGATGAGAGTCATGATTTTTACATTCTGTTTTTGTTTCCCGACACAGTGTTTTGGGTTTTTTCTCAATTAAATTGATAACAGTATTGCTACCCATGGTGAGATTTTATTTGAAGTCTTATGCTTTCTCTTTGTTTTAATGTGAAATGGTTGGGTTTTTTTTTTTTTAGAAAGTAGGGTTAAACAAAACTTGTATTTATGCCTGCTGTGTATTTATTTGCTTGGTAACTGTTATAAATTTCATTTATGTTATGTTTTCCTAGATATTTAAAATAAAAATTTTGAAAATGATGTGATAAGACTTAAAAACAATGAATCTTTTAATGATATTGTTTCAAACTCTTATTTTCACTATTATATAATTATTCAAATTTTATCATCTGCTGTAAGGGGCAACAAACTCCTATGACTCAATCTACCTGTTTTATATGCAGTTCTATTGGAACCCAGCCACACTCATGTGTATATACTTACTGACCTCTGATCTACTGTGTACAGGATTTTATCTATCAGTACATACAGATATCTAGATCTTGAATCTTTTCTTTCCTGTTTTCAGTAATCTGATTTGTGGGCTCTGCCTGTGTTTTCGTTTCCCTCTGTAGTAAGTGGATCACTTCTTTCAGATTGGTCTTCCTTTTCTTTTTTTCTGCAGCAGGACCGCAGTATGCGGTAGGAAAGTGTGATGCTGTCTGAAGGTGACATCCTGTCCCCCTCCTTCCTTCTGTCCTCTCCTTGTTCTGGCCTCCTGGTAATTGGGGGTAGGAGTGCTGGTATAATCTGATATTGCTTTAATCATTCCCCCTTTACTTAGTGGGGAGGAGTGTGGTTTCCAAGCCATCAAATGAAAAAATAAAAGGTTATCTAGCTCTTGGCACAATCTACTCTGGGGTCATGGGAGTCAAGAAAATTGCAAAACCACAACTGGGGTGGGGAGGGGAGGATACATTGCAGATATGTTACTAATGTAAATCTTAGAGAAGCTCTTTGAAGATAATCCTTGATCTTCATGCTTATACCTGGGGATTTCTTTACTGTCCTTTTATTAAGCATTTAAATATAAAGGAATGAATTTTAACAATATATTCTAATATACAAGGGGGCATCAAAGAATTCGTGGAAAGATGGAATTAAAAAGGTAGGGAATTTCTCCACAAACTTTTTGAAGCACCCTCGTGTTGACTGGATGATGACCACTCTGATATTACAACTCTGGCAGCAGATATTTGTTGATGGATTTTAGGGATTCCAAAAACAAAATGTTGACCCAGAAGTAGAGCTTTCTTAGAATTTCTAAGTTGTGAAGGAAGAGATTAAGGCCTTGGTGTTGAAATTTGTGTCTGCCAAATCTTTGCGCCTATCAGTAGCGCTATGAAGTTCCTCTGGTGTGCTTGTTGCTTTTCTTGTCTGTCCTTCACATCTTCACAAGTCCTCCACTTGGCCAGTGTTTCCTACACTTAATATATTGAATGCCATCGTCATGATTTTTGCCATATCTGCACATTTACTGGTTATTCTTTAACTCAACTCACTTTTTAAATTTTAAATATCTGTGTCTTAAAGCATGTGTTTGATGTATGAATTTTTTATATTTATCAACTAAAAGAACCTGTAAATATTGGGTTTGGGTCCCATCCACAATCATGTTTCTAGACGGCATCAACCTTATTTTGGGAAACACTGCCCCATGTATTGGAATTTTTAAGTTCTCACTTTGAGCCATAGTGGGAACTATGGAAGTGACTTGTACTCTGAAGTGCCGGAGGAAAGAGGAGGAGATCATAGTGGAAGCGTGGGTGCTGCCTGCTCAAATATCCCCTTGCTTGGGGCAAATTCATGTGCCCTGGATATGGGGATATTTGGCTATGTGCATGGCAAAACTCCGAGTCATAGCCTTGCCGTTTTTAAACTTCCTCCCCCCCGCGTGTGCGTGTGCATGTACATGGCATCCTATGTGTGTTTGTATCCCCACATTTCACACATTCAATTTCTTTTTACAGGTTTGATCTTGCTCTTCTACCTAGTCTTCTATGGGTTTTTGGCTGCTCTCTTCTCATTCACAATGTGGGTCATGCTTCAGACTCTGAATGATGAGGTTCCAAAATACCGGGACCAGATTCCCAGTCCAGGTAATGATGTGACAGTTACCATGATTTTAACACAATTGAGTTACAGTGTTATCTTCACCATAAATCTGTGTGTGCAAGCTTTTTTAAAATAGTCTTTTGACACCACCATAGGCATATAATGGGTAAAATGCAGTTAACACTTAAGGCTCACTATTTTTAACCATAAAAATGTGAAATGTTGATGTATTAGGATTTAGTGAATAGAATGCTCCAGAAAAAAATGAATTTTCTTTCTCCTGGGAAACAATGACAATTTTAATGCAGATAAATTATATGGTTGGAATTATTGACCGTTAATAAGGTTTGACAACCTAGCATTCACATACTCGATTGTATAGCCCTAACATCGCAAATCTGCTTTGTAAAGCAGATAGAAGGTACCTTGGGGGTGGTGGTTAATGTGAAGTTTTTTATTTTTGTTTGCTGTATAATATTTATATACTGATTTTAAAGACATCTATATTCATGGACTTATGATGTGGCACTGTAGGATCAGCACTGAACTGTGAACCACAAAGTTGGCAGTTCAAACCCATTAGCTGCTCCTCGGAAACTCTACACAGGGTCACTATAAGTCAGAACCAACTCAGTGGCACTTAACAACGACTATATATATATATATACAGACACAGGTGGTGTCGTGGGTTACACATTAAGCTGTTAACTACAAGATCAGCAGTTGCAATCCACCAGCCGCTCTGAGGGAGAAAGATTCGACTTTCTGCTCCTGTATAGAGTTATAGCCTCGGAAACCTTCTTTACAGGATCCCTATGAGTTGGAGGCAACTCGATGGCACACAACAATGTTTATGGACTGATAAGTCTTAATTCTTCTGCCAGGAATAAGTAGAGATGATTTATAAAAATTATAGTGAAGCTCAAATTCATTCTAGTTATTTAAACAGTTTACAGGTAAATTACCCATGCTAAAGTGAAACTGCTACACAATATTTATAAAAGCCTATTCAGGATTGCTAATGAGTTGGAACTGACTGAACGGCAAATATCAACAAATATTAACAACAAAGATCAGTAGTGCCAAGGTTGAAAAATCCTTACCCTGGAATCTTACAGCCTGGCCTACTGAACCATATCAACAGTCAAACAACCAAATTTTTTCCTAATGACCACTTCTGAATGGTTTGCCACTGAAAACCTTATGAATGGCAGTGAAACACTGTCAGATACAGTGCCAAAAGATGAGCCCCTCAAGTTGAAAGACACTCAAAATACTAATGGGGAAGAGTTAACCTTAGAGACGTGGATGAAGCAAAGCTTTTTCAGGACCTTCATTTGCTGATGGAGCACAACTCAAAATGAGAAGGAACATCCATTAATAATTGGAACATGGAATGTACAAAGTATGAATATAGGAAAATTGGAAGTCATCCAAAATGAAATGAAGCACACAAAGATTGATATCCTAGGCATCTGTTGTTGTTAAATGCTGTCTATTCAGTTCCAACCCATAGCAACCCTGTATAGGGTTTCAAAGGAAGCACTGGTGGGTTTAAACCTCCAACCTTTTGTCCATTGTCTATTGCTTATCTTATAGCACCACACTGGGACTCTATCCTGGGCATTAATGAGCTTAAATGGCAGGTAGTGGCCGGGCCGCTGTGAATCAGATACTCATGGTTTACTGTGCCAGGAGCAACAAATTGACGAGGAAAGGTGTTGTGCCAGGAGCGACAAATTGACAAGGAAAGGTGTTGCATGCAATTCGTTGTCAAAAAAGAACTTTTCAAGATTCGATTTATCTTGATGTACAATGCTGTCTGTGATATGATAATATCCATACTCCTTCAAGGAAGACCAGTTAATGTGACTATTATTACTCAAATTTACTCACCAGCTACAAAAAGCCAATGATGAAGAAATTGAATTCTATCAACTTCTTCCATCTGAAATTGATCATATACTCAAATGCATTGTTAATAACTGGTGGTTAGAATGCAAAAGTTGGAAACAAAGGGGAAGGAATCATCTTTGGAAAATATAACCTTGGTGATAGAAACGATGCTAGAGATCTTATGATAGAACTGTGCAAGACTAATGACTTCATCATTGAAATTGCTTTTTTAAACAACATAATAGATGACTGTACACATGGACCTCACTGCATGGAATACACAGATTATCAAATTGACTTTATGGAAAGTGATGGGGTGGAAAAGCTCCATATCATTAGTCAAAACAAGGGGTGGACTGGACAAGAACCATCAATTACTCATATGCAAATTCAGGCTGAAGCTGAAGAAAATTAAAACAAGTCCATGAGAACCAAAGTATGACCTTGAACGTATCCCACCTGAATATCATCTGAAGAACAGATTTGACCAAAGACCAAAAGAATTGTGGGGGTGACATCAAGAATATCATACTAGAAGGAAGCAAAAGGTCATTAACACAAGAAAGAAGGAAAAGACCAAAATGGATGTCAGAAGAGACTCTGAAACTTACTGTCCAACGTAGAGATACTAAAGTGAATGGAAGAAATGAGGAGGTAAAAGGGTTGAATAAAAAGTTCAAAGGGCCTGGTGCGATTCCGTCCTGCGTGACTGTTTTCAGTAGCAACAACCCAGTTATCTTCGCCCTTCTTCTCTATCACCTAAGTGCGCACCATCACCCCATGGAGGATTCGATGGATATGGACATATGAGCCCCCTGAGGCCCCAAAACTATCTTTTCAGTTGTGAACTAAAAGCCGATAAAGATTATCACTTTAAGGTGGATAATGATGAAAATGAGCACCAGTTATCATTAAGAACGGTCAGTTTAGGAGCTGGTGCCAAGGATGAATTGCACATTGTTGAAGCAGAAGCAATGAATTATGAAGGTAGCCCAATTAAAGTCACACTGGCTACTTTGAAAATGTCTGTACAGCCAACGGTCTCCCTTGGGGGCTTTGAAATAACACCACCAGTGGTCTTACGATTGAAGTGTGGCTCAGGGCCTGTGCATATTAGTGGACAGCACTTAGTAGCTGTGGCGGAAGATGCAGAGTCAGATGATGAAGAGGAAGAAGAAGTGAAACTCTTAAGTATGTCAGGAAAGCGGTCTGCCCCTGCAAGTGGTAACAAGGTTCCACAGAAAAAAGTAAAGGTGGCTGCAGATGAAGATGATGATGATGATGATGACGATGACGACGATGACAAAGATGATGATGATTTTGATGATGAAGAAACTGAAGAAAAAGTTCCGATCAAGAAATCTATGCGGGACACGTCAGCTAAAAATGCACAAAAATCAAACCAGAATGGAAAAGACTCAAAACCATCAACACCAAGATCAAAAGGTCAAGAATCCTTCAAAAAACAGGAAAAAACACCTAAAACACCCAAAGGACCTAGTTCTGTAGAAGATATTAAAGCAAAAATGCAAGCAAGTATAGAAAAAGTACATTGAACAGCCCTGGGCACTACTGGTAAATTAAGCCCAAAGATGGGGAGAGGAAAAGGAGAGAAACAAATATAGTCCATACAGAGTATCATCAACAATCCAGACTGAAGTCTTCTATTTTAATCTCAATCCCCTTTCCTGACTTTCCACCCACCCAAGCCCCCTTGCAGGCTGGAAGCAATCTCATTCTTGATTTCCTAAAGAATTTTGTTTTGACGGCTGTGATTCAGTGAACGTATTATGTTCTCTATTGTGCATTTGCCTCACCTTCTTGACCGTGTTTTATAAACTATGTATCTCCTTAGCTGTTCAATAAATATTTGTATAAAATGAAAAAAAAAAAAGTTCAAAGGGCAGTTAGAGAAAGTCAAATATTATGAATTGTGCAAAGACCTGGATTTAGAAAACCAAAAGGGAAAAACACGCTCAGCATTTCTAAAGCTGAAAGAAGTAAAGAAAAAGTTCAAGCTTTGACTTGGCAATATTGAAGGATTCTATGGGAGTCCTGGTGTGGCACTGTGGGTTAATGCACCAGACCGCAAAGCTATTTGAACTGCAAGGTCGGCGGTTTAAGCTCACCAGCTACTCCTCAGAAACCCTATACAGAGTTGCTATGGGTCGGAATCGACTCGACGGCATGTAACAACAACAACATGGGCAAAATATTGACTGATACAGAAAGCATCAAAAGTAGATTAAAGGAATACACAGTCACTGTACCAAAAATAAATGCATGATATTCAACTATTTCAAGAGGTAGCATATGGTCAAGAGCCAGTGATACTGAAGGAAGAAGTCTAAGGTGCTTTGAAGGCATTGGCAAAGGACAGGGCTCCAGGAATTTATGAAATACAAATTGAAATCTTTTAACAAACTTACGCAGCACTGAAGGTACTAACTCATCTATGCCAAAAAAAAATTTGAAAGACAACTACATAGTGAACAGATTAGAAGAGATCCATATTTGTGCCCATTCCAAAGAGAGGTAACCCAACAGAAAGTGGAAATTATTGGACAGTAAGCTCTGGTAGCGTAGTGGTTACAAATTGGGCTGCGAACCTTAAGGTCAGCAGTTCAAAACTACCACCTGTTCCGTGGGAGAAAGAAGAAGCTTTCTGCTCCCATAAAGATTTATAGCCTCAAACCCTGTACAGGGTGGTTATGAGTTGGAACCAACTCCATGGCACATAACAACAACAATCATTAATAACACATACAGGTAAATTTTTGCTAAAAATAATTTTTGAACAACTGAAGTGGTACATTGACAGAGAGCTGTCAGAGGTTCAGGCCAGATTCAGACAGGGACATGGGACGAGGGATATCTTTGCTGACATCAGATGGGTCTTGGCTGAAAGCAGAGAATACCAGAAGTTCACCTGTGCTTTATTGACTATGCAGAGGTTTTCAGTTTTGTGGACAGCATTGCCGAGAATGAGTATTCCAGAACACTTAATTGTACTCATGAGGAACCTATACATAGACCAGGAGGCTGTCATTCAAACAGAACCAGGGGACACTTAATGATTTAAAATTAACAAAAGTGTGCACCAGTATTGTATTTTTCCACCATACTTATTCAGTTTGTATGCTGAGTA